CATCAAGTTGATGATGAATCGGAAGAAAATTTAGATTGATGGAGTAGCTTGATAGTAGACCGAATCGGTATGGTAAGGATATGATTAATTCTTTGTATGTGTTCGAGGCAATGGGTTCTTACAGGTATTTTGCAGCAATGCTCATGGGTTTTGATGGCTTGCTTAGCTTGGTCTAGATAGAAGGATTCAGTCCTGGCGTCTTAATTCGTGCAAACGGAATTGGGAAAGTTATTGTTGATTTCTACTGTGGCTTGGAGGGGAGGTAAAAGTTTTCCTGTTGTCCTTGGATGGTGTGGTATATGCGGTGCGTTGTGGAGGATCGAGATTTTTTCTGAAAGGAAGTTCATAACACTCTTAGGCAGCGGGTAGCCTCAGATGATTATGGAAATGGTATTCTTATTTGGAAGTGATTTGACAAGAGTATAGGTTTCATAAAAAGGGCAATGTGATTAAGTTGATGGCACTTCAGTAGTATTACGGCACTTTCGGGCTGGATCGACTGCTAATATTCGAGTTTGCTGGATGGCACAAAGGAATTTGAGAGTATCTAACGTGGAATGATTGGGTATTAGAGGTGTGGAATATATATTCGGGCGGCGAAATTGGGATAGGATGTGGTGATCCATGTGCCGTATGGACGTGGAGACGGAAGTTCTCATATTTAGGATGTGTTGTGATTGTAGATCGTATGCATCAGCACTGTTTAGTGACTACCGAGATTTGGAGGCCCGAGTGGACCTTTCTTTGCTTGGTATATTAGGTTTTGGATATGATATTGGGGTGTGGACTGGTTGCTCTGTGTTGTGTTATTCTGGACTATTGCAATAAGATGGCGCGGATGGCTATGTCGGGAAATGCCCCGGATTGAGTGGCGATGTTCGCCGGATTATGTCCTATTGGGGATTTTTATATTTTGAAGACCTAGCGGACGGCTGGGAAGGATTGCCTTTCTTATTTGGGGTCTTGTGAGTGAGTGTTCTATCTTGAGTCGGATTGATTGGCTCTGAATGGCATTATTGAGGGAGGTATTGATTCGACCGTTGTCGAGCTTATCAGTGATCTGTGAGATCTATGAGTTACCTTTCTGTGTTGCGAGATGCTAGGATTTGTTTATTATAGGCACATATGGTGCAGTTCAATTGGGGTCTCTTAGTGGAATTCGAGCGGGAAGAGTAATTGAGCGAGGCTTAGTGAATGGCGTATCGACGGTGTCCTATCGGGTTGCGTGGCATATGTTATTTATTGCACCGTGGGTGTAATGATTTGCTTTGGTTCCAGATATCAAGTTGTGTGTGGCTGTCGATTTTTGAGCATAGTGACTTGAGGTGTTTCATGTGTAACAGTGTTTGGATAGGATCGCGCATTGTAGCGAGGCTACGTGGAAATATGACCTTTCAGGGGAGATTCATGTGTTCTATTTCTATAATGTGAGACGAGGTCTCAGCTTTGTGTTGTGATGGTACTGATGAGCTTGAGGTACAGCTCTTTCGTTTGGGGTCATTAATGAATACGAACGGAATTGATTTCAGCTTGTTGAAATATATCGAGGTCCGGCTCGAAAAATCTGCGGTGGTATTATCCAAAGGGAAGTGACTTCATAAATGGTTGACCTGAGAGATTGTTACGGTTTATTGCATGTTTCATTTATCATTAGCACTATATAGAAGTGTTGGAATAAGACCTTAGTTGATAAGAGGTTTGCTACCGGTATTCGAGTGTTGTGTGCAGCTGCTGTGAATAGAGGTTATCGTTTCAAGTGTTTGAGTTATGTGATATATCATATGATTGCAGCCGAGAGTGCAGGTATGGGTTATTACAGCTGGTTCGGGCATATTCTGAATATAGATGTGAGGTTCTGATCTTGTGTATGCTTTCGGAAAGGTGCAATGTGGTTCTATGATTTATGGGCTAGACTAGATTGTGTGATTTCAGTTAAAATGTGCTATCTGGCCTATATGAGATAGGGTGACGTGGGATCACCCCCGGGTATATGCATGGCAAAGGTTATTCAGCGATTGGTTGGCTTCTGGAACAAACTCTGAGTACGTTCGAGGACGAACGTGTGTTTAAGTGGGGGAGGATGTAACGACCCAACCGGTCGTTTTGAGCTTTTGCACTTTGATCGCCAGTTCTCGGGCATGACTTGCCCCGTGTTATGTATTATGACTAATGTTGCTGGTATCTGGTGTTTCCGCATCTGCGGAAGAAGGGCCGCATATGCGGTTCCGCAGATGCGAGAGGTAGGTTCGCAGGTGCGCGTTCTTGGAAGGTTGGCTGCTTCCGCAGGTGCGGGCTTGGGGCCGCATCTGCGATGCCGCAGATGCGGTAGAAGAGTCGCAGAAGCGAAAGGGTGAAGCCTGGGTGTTTCCGCAGAAGCGGAAAAGTGACCGCAGAAGCGGGTTCCGCAAATGCGGATAGAGGACCGCAGAAGCGGTCGTTGGTTTAATGAAGAAGCGCAGAAGCGGAACTACAACCGCAGAAGCGGTAGCCGCAAATACTGTAATGGAACCGCAGATGCGAAAATCACTGTTCAGAGAAGGGTTTTAAAGCTCATTTTGTTCCGCGAGCTTAAGTTACTTTTCACCATTTTTGAGCATTGTGGGAGCTCTTGGACGGAAATTGAAGGGGATTTCGACTAGGTGTGATTGGAGGTGAGTTCTTTGGCCTAAATACATGATTTAATGGTAGAATTAACATGGAAATTTGTGGAAATTCATCAAAAGAGGGTGAAGCTAGGGCTTGGAAATTTGGTATTTCAAAGTGGAATTTGAGGGGTCAAATGGACTCCGATTTTGGTAATTTTGATATGTATAGACTCGTGGCGAGATAAGGAATCCGGTGATGTTAATTTTTTGATTTTTCGAGAAGTGGGCTCGGGGCTCGGGTTTTGCCAATTTCGTGAATTTCGATATTTTTCGAGTCTTTTCGATTTGGTTATGTTCCCTTAGCCTATTCTAACGTATTCGTTGTGGTTTTGACAAGATTCGACGCGTGAGCAGGTCGATTTGCGAGGCAAGGGCATAGGGAGCTAGGATTTTGGCCGGTTTGAGGTGAGTAATGATTGTAAACGATATCCTGAGAGTTTGAAACCCCGGATTGCACATCGTAGTGCTATATTGAGGTGACTTGCACGCCGGTTAGTGGGCGTGGGGTAGAGCACCGTTGGGGATTGTGACTTGTTCCGTCCCGATTGATGAATTTACTGCGTATTTGACTGAAATTTACTTGTTTTCATCGTGATTTGGGCTGATTGCCATATTTGGGCTTCGTGCTTACTATTTGAATCCTTCGGGGATTATTATTAGTGTTCCCTCATTGTCTTGACTTATTACTTGAACTCAGTCATACTGTTGCTCCACTATTTTACAACTCAGCCACTTTTACTCAGATTTGATTCTTAAATGATATTTTAAATGATAATTTGGGCTGAGAACTACTGTATTACTAATGCCGAGGGGCTTGTGATGATATTCTGACTGAGTGTGGCCGTGGGCCGGATGTGAGGATACACTGAGTGATATGAGGCCAAGGGCCTGGATATGAGGGTTTTATATTATGGATCGGGTTGCACGCCTATATATATATATATATATATAGGATCGGGCTGCACGCAACAGTGATATAGCGCTTGGGCTGTAGGAGCCCCTCCGGAGTCTGCACCCCCACAGTGAGCGCGGGTACCCATATGGATCGGGCTGCACGCCGCAGCGAGATATGGAATGGGTTGCACGCCGCAGCGATATGTGGATCGGGCCCCACGCCGCAGCGGTTTCTATATGATACTGTTCCGAGAGGGATCTGAGAGAGAGAGCCCGAGGGGCGGAGAGTGTTTCTGAGAGTGAGCCCGAGGGGCTGGTACTGTTTTGAAATATTGCCCGAGGGGCGAACTTTTGTGTGCTCATCTTGCATATTTACTTGCCCTTTTTACCTGTTATATTGTGATATTTGTGCCCTAGGGGTGGTTTTTCTGTGCTTATCTGCACTAACTGTTTGAAATCATTTCGTAACTGTTGGAAAGATCATTTTAAAAAGAGATTTAAAACTGAGCCAAGAGATTTCCAAAGATTTCACAGCTTCACTGTTTTTCTCAAAGGATTGTACGTTGCTTCTATGCAGCATGTTGGTTGCTTTACGTGATTTCTTACTGCTCAGTTGTTATTTACCTTTATTACTCACTGAGTTGGAGTACTCACTTTCCTCCCTGCACCTCGTGTGCAGATGCAGGTATTTGTCACCCGGTAGCGGGCTTTGAGCTGATCAGAGGCTAAGTTAATGGAGATTAGCGAGGTGACTGCCAGCGTTCGCAGCACCGCATGTTCTTCCTTTGTTTTATCATTCCTATTTGTATATTTCAGACTTGTAGTGGTAGTCATATTCTAGTAGTTGCTCGTGACTTGTGACACCCCGATTAGGGCTGTGTTGGGTTGTAATTTCTTTAATTAATATCCTTAAATCATATTTGAACTGTTTAACTGCTTAGAAGTGGTGTTCCGAAATGGTCTGGCTGGCCTTGTCTTCACGAGAGGCGCCATCACGATCGGAGCGGGGTTTGGGTCGTGACAGGGTATGGCCGAATTGGGCTCAAATTTTGGGCCAATTTTGGCACACTTTTAATTAAAATACACTAGTCCAAACCCTTTTTTCCTCTAATGAAATTAATAGTCTTCTTTAGTCCTAAAAAAATGTAAAAGTAGAAATAAAATCTTTTTCAGTATATATAATTTAAAGATGCAAACTAAAATACACAAATAAAAGGTGATAAATATTTTTGGTATTTTTAATAAAGAAAAAATGCAATTAAAAATGCACAAATAACTAAAACTCATCCAAATATTAGTATTTGTAGGAGAATTAGAAGTAAGAAAAAATTAGGTATTCACAGTACACGTAACGATGAATTTAACGATACAATACAATAGAATTTAAATAACAATCAAAACAAATTAACATTGTATTTAAAGTAACAACACAATATAATACCATAGGTAACAACCATCCAAACAACCATAACTTACTCAAATCATGTATATAGTCGGAGCATCTAATTAACAATATAGAGACAACTCTAGTTTGGACGCAGCCCAAGAAACATCAAGCTATAAAGTAAAGTTCTCATATTGCGATAGGATCAATTAGCACCATAGAGACGACGTCTTTCAAGTTATATTTGGAAAATGTATAAGCATCTTCATCTTTATAAAAGAACTCCGCCACCCTCGTAAGGTTGAGCACTGGCATGAGCAAAATCCTTGGCACGGCGGTAGGTTTTAGGCATTCTCGATTCAAATCCTTCCAACGATTCTCTATTATTTTCTTAATTTCCACGTATGCTTCTTCCTTTGTGACACCATATTCGTTCATGTAACATTCGATACCTGAAGCTACATCTCCTCTTTCCAATTCTATCTGCATCCATAATATAATTTGGAAAAAAGTTAAGTATAAGAGGAAACATTACTCCGGATTAAATTCTACATCCTAATCCTTGAGCTATTATTGACGCGTACACTAATTTTCTTGAACTCTTACTTCTAGTACACTAATATGTCACTTAAGAAGATAACTTCAGCTACATGTTAAACTATACTAATATATAAAAATTATTTATACTATATATACATATATATACAAGTATGATCCTATTTACATATATTCAAGGATTACACCAATAAATATCGATACCTCATGTGTTACAAGATCATTGAGTAATCTTGCAATTATACACGAAGCGACAAGAATTATAGGTTCAGTTGATATCCAATCAAATGCCTCCTTGATTGCTACCTCTCCCATGCCTAACCAAGAAGTAGTGGCAAGTAATAGGTAAGTGCTCGAGGGAATCCCATTCTTCACATACTCCTCCATTGTTGGGACATTCATCCCATGATACCATTTGGCCTCTTGAAAGTAAGCCTTCAACAGCTTTTTCATCTGAAAGTTTATGGAATTTGGTTCAATGCGTTCAACTGAATATAGACGTAATTTAATGCAGAACGCAAATATATATGTGAAAGGTTTACTAAAAATTTAACAAATATTAAATTTTAAATTCATAATTTCAAAGTCCATTGAATTAAATGCTAGGAACTTAAGAGTTCGAAACCATCAAATTTTCATTTTTACATCCATCTCCGAAGTTGTTCATTATTTTATTACCTCAGTTATGGAATATTTGACTCGAAATGACTTATTATCATGATTTGCCAATTCTATCTCCACTTCGTTGTAAACATCTAGAAGAGCACGATAAGAGAGCTTCATATATGGCGGTAACTCTTCTGAAGCATCAATGTTCCACCTACATATATATGTCAAATATCACATTATATCCAATCAAATTATATTTTACAATGCAAAAAAGAATTGATAAGTTCTTATTTTCTCTACCTAATATTTTTCCCAAATGTAAAAATTATAAAGAAGTTGTAAGCTATTGATGTGAGAAAATTAAAGAGTAATTACCTTTCAATTGCCTTTGTGAGGAGAGTAAGTTCATCTAGTGTTCCATATGTATCGTAAGTGTCATCCATAATAGAACAGAAGCATAACACTTTGGTTAGTATTTTTCTGGCAACACTATATTGAGGCTCAAAGTATACACCTAAATTCCAGAAGTATAACTCAACCACTCTGTCTCTTGCAAAAGGTAGTGCCTGCGCGATTTCCGATTCTTTCCACCACCTAAAATGTAAAGTATATTATAAAAATTGCTTACACTGTCAGTGAATAGAAGTTAAATTTTGTAAAGTTAGGTTAGTGAATGTCTAGCTTGCCATTTACCTTGTGATATCACATAGCTCCTTTTTATGCAACCTTTGTAAGATGTTGAAGTCCAATTTAGCAAAATGTAGTAACACTTCATTGTGTGATTCATCTTCTTGGTAAAATGAAATGTATTTCCTCGTTCCTACCCTTACTATAGTATTATTGATTGGATACTTTAGTGCATCGTTCACATTCATCGCGCGAGAACTGCTCAATGTAGGCAACAATAGCTTTAAATGAGTGGTGGTGAAATTAACTGCTTCGTCTAGTATTTTTTCATTGTGTACTCTGAATTGTGCTGCCTCATACAAGCTCAACAATCCTTGCACGTCGCTAACCAATGCTTTCTTGTAATTTACTTGGTCGTCAGTGAACTTCCTAAAAACTTCTGCTCCGAAATATTTTTATATTGTCAATATATAAAAGTTAATTAAAATCTTATTCGAAAAAGGACTAGGCTCCGGATGAGCAAACAAGCTTGAGTAATTATTGCATAAATATAAAACTTATTTGCACTATCATTGTAGCTAAACTTATTATAGTTGATTATTTATCGTTAATTTTAAATTAGCAATAAATACTCATTATAGAAAATTACTAGCTATAATTACCTAAGTGATCAAATTTTGTTAATATATTCTTGCACCGACAACTTAAACTCATTGCATAATGTCGAGTATATAGGAGGAAGTTACCAGGTGAAACATAATAACCATGTTGCCTAAGTAATCGAAAGCTTAGAGCAACAGCATGAAGGTCACTAACGTTCAGTAATAACCATCTCTGTAAAAATATGTATATTTATTGGTTGGTGTAAACACCTGATACGAGTATGTTTCTATCGTCAGGATGGATCCCCAAATAGATCCATTGAGTTACTACGTACTAAAAGTGGATTATTCACATTTCTTAAAGTATGTGGATGTTAGACCATATGCCAGTTGTAACTTTTTAATGTATGAGCAAAATATAGCAATATGATACTATATATACTCGTATGCAAAACTGTACTATTATATGAATTGACCTTGATAAAGGATAATAGGAACATACCTTTTAATTACCAGTTCTTGGCTCTTAGCCAAATGCAAAGTAGTGTGGCTTAGGCTTTGTAACTTGGCTTAAAAACTAAGAAAGTGAATGACGAAAGTTGTATTCAGGTTTACCCAGACAGTGAACATGATTCCCTTACTATTTATAAAGCTTTGGAATACCAATAAATATCATATACAAAGTATATTTATAGCAATTATTAACAGTCAATAAGAAGCAGACGACGTCGATCGATAAGGAGAGGTCAATTAATGGCAACCAATTTGATAATGGAGATTTTTTCAAAAAAAGAGATTTTTACCTATTATACTATATATGTTATAAACTTATTTACTCACACTCAATGTTTTAAAAGGCAGGGGCGTGAGGCGAGACGTTTTACCTCTGACGAGGCGAGGCGTAAGCCCTAAGACATGGGGCGTAAGTCTAACGGATCTTTAAATTTTAAGACATGCGGCGTACATATAAATATACAAATTATCAATTGTATATAAATTAATGATAATTTAGGATCCCTTAATATTACACATTTAATAGGGAACAATCAATACATAACATCAGTTATTCCCTGTCTGGTGCGGAAGAGGGTTTACCCGACTCTTCATCTATGAAAAATTACACTGTATACATAAGGCAAAATCCAATTTAATTTGTACCACAACATATTATATTTTGAATTCCCTTCACAACACCCAAAAGTATAGATTAGTGGTGAGGGGGTTCAAAATCTTTATAAAGTTGCTCATCTATCCCCTCTCCCACGCTGCCCATCTAGCCCCCAACCCCCC